GTAAATTGTAGTCAATGTCATGAGACAAAGTGAATGTGAACTGCTGTATGGAAACTAAATTTGCTCTAAATTTTCACCCACATCACAATTAAAAAAAAAAAAAAAAGGACACCACACTGCCCACCAAGGTTCCTGTCTAATCTTTCAAGTTGCTGTTGTCAGTTTGATTCCATACAGATAGTTTTTCATAAGAGTATAACGCTTCAGTCATACTGTTTTTACTAGTTAAGTTAAATTATTATTTGGTTTTAAGAAGACTTCAGGGACTATTCTTAGTTTAAGGTTTAAGTTTACCTCAGAGCAGTAGTTTCCTGGGGTTATCCATAGTCCCTGAGAATTTGAAATTTTGTTCTGTGTTTTCCCCATTTTGATCAGGATTCTTCTGTAGAGTCTTTGATAAAATGTTCAGTAACGTAACTGGGCATCATCCAGTTCTTCTGGTCTCATGGCAAAAGAGGCAGTTGCTCATGGAGGCTGTATGAATTTTTATTACGGGAAGATTTTTGTTTTCTGTATTAAAATATAACATAAAATGTGCCATTTTAAAGTATAAATTTCGGTGACAATTATATTAATGTTGTGCAATCATTACTGTATTTATTCCCAAAATTTTTCATCATCTTAAATAGAAACTCTCCCCTTTAAGGAGTAACTGTCCACTCTCCCCTTCTCTTAGCCCGTGGTGTGTGCTCTAGTCTACCTTCTGTCTCAATGAATTTACCTGTTCTAGGTATTTCATACAAATGGGATCAGACAGTATTTGTCCTTTTGTGTCCAGTTTATTTCCTTTAGTATAATGTTTTCAAGGTTCATCCATGTCATAGCATGTCTCAGGACTTCATTTTTCTTCACAGCTGAATGATATTCCATTGTATGGGTAAGACCACATTGTATTGTCCATTCATTTGCTGATAGATGCTTGGGTTGTTTCCACCTTTTGGCTACTGTGCATAGTGCTGCTGTGAACATACATATACAAGCATCTGTTTTAATCCCTCTTTTCTCTTTTGGGCATGTACCTAGGAGTGGAATTGTTGGGTCAAGGAGCTCTGGTAGCATAGTGGCTAAAGCACTTGACTGCTAACCAGAAGGTTGGCAGTTCAAACCC